CTAGCTGATGAAGTCTGACAATACAAGCTTAAACAATCGGTCCCGGAAAGATTAAAAGATAGCGAGTCACATGAGTTGTGCCAGTCTCAAGAAGCAATGCACCACCTTGCTGCCCTGGCAAATTGCTTTGAAACAGTCACAAAGCAGCAGAGAAGTTTGAAAGGATCAAAGCTCCGTCAGTGTGCCTGAGTGTATGTACTGGTCTCCTGGTGGAGAAGTATAAACTAGGCTTTGTGTTACTGTAAATGTGTCAAAGATCTGAAGTCACCAGTAAGAAAAAATATAAAATAAAACTTACCAGCAACAGGTACAAATCTTTTTAAGGTTACCATTCGTAGGGATCCAACTTTGTATTCAGCCAATGGATAGTGGTCAGCAAGTTCCTTCTGATCAACTGCTGCGAACTCTCTTGTTGGATGCAACTCAAAGGCTCGATAATTGTTCTCTATAATCACTGCAAAAACCCACCTCCTTAATACTAGAAAAATACACTTATTTTTGGTGAAGATTTGCTTAAAACAAGTGAAATGTTGGTTGGCAAGATGGCGTCGTAGCGCAAACACCCGTCTCGCTGTGCTCCGGTGAGGTCCCCCGATTATCCGTCTAAAATACGTGTTCACCTGGTGAAACGTTACAAATGTGCGTGGGAGTAACTCTATAATGAGTCTGGACGACTTTTTTTCTAAAATGCCTAACGTCAGGTCTAAGAAAAAGACAGCTCCGGTTCTGCAAGCTAGCGACATTGTGGGTCCTATGGCGGCTGAGCCTGAAGAAGCTAACGCCAGCGACACAGAAATCTCCGCTGACGCTGAGGAAACTGGGAGTGATATCGACCCGAATATCCTTGCGGCTCTGAGTAAGATAACTGACAGCATTACAACTTTATTGGATGTTAAAGTTGATACTGTGCTGGCCGCAATCCGTGAACAGACGTCTCGGATCCAGGCTCTGGCGACACGGGTGGGAGACGCCCAGATACGGATTTCAGGCGTGGAAGACACGGCAGGTGTATTGCAGGCGAAAGTGGCTCAACTCGAAAAACAAGTAACTGACATGGCAGACCACATGGACGATTTAGAGAACCGCAGCCGCAGATGTAACCTTCGCCTGGTCGGGCTTCCCGAGGGCACGGAGGGAAATGATGTTGTCGCCTTCATGGAGTCATGGCTCCCCTCCTATCTCGAGCTCACAACTAAAAATGGGAAGATCAAATTAGACCGCGCTCACCGCTCTCTAGCACCGAGGCCGGGCCCCAGCCAGCGCGCCAGACCCATCATTATGAAGCTTCACAACTTTGCTGATAAACAACGTGTGATGGCCGCAGCTCGGCGCCTGGCTACGCAGCCGAACCAACCAACAAGTCGGATCAAAGTCTCCTTCTTTAATGATTATTCAGCGGCGGTAGCCAAGAAACGCAAGGCTTTCGACGAGGTGAAAAGCTGCCTGAGGAAGAAGAATGTGGATTATGTGCTTCTCTACCCCGCCACACTGAGGCTGTTTGCCAACGGCAAGGAGAAGAGATTTAACACACCGGAGGCAGCTGCGTCCTACGCGGACTCGCTGCCCTGAATCCCCGTAACCACCGGAGTACTCCTTTTCTTCACACTATGCCTTAATTAACCGGTGTGAGTACTTGCCGAATCTAGGCGTATATGACTCTTTTTTTTCGTCCTCGCTGCTTATAAGCGACCAGGTGAAATCTTCCACCCCATCGGGCACCGGACGGACTGTGTTTTCGTCTATGGGTAGGCGTGAGTTACGCGCGTGCAATGCCCTTCGGCTTTCCCGACGGGCAGGAGGAGATTGGTTTTTCCCTACATGTTTAGTAGGGCTGTTGCCAAATCACTGTTCTTTGAATGTTCCGTCACACAGCTCTTTCATGCCTTTTTTATTTTTATTTTATTTATTTATTTTTTCAACCAGGGTGTGGTGAACCCTTTGGCTCAATATGCTT